CTTTCAGTAATCTCAATTCCCAATTGAAGGCCATTTTGGTATTATTCCCTGTGGGTTTAGGTCGGGTGAGGTCGCTTTAAATTGCCCATTGACCATGCTGTCTCAGCTGTTACCATGCGACAGGAGCCACACCCGCAGCTTCAATGCACGGACGTGAATTCACGATATTGGGGTTTTCTATCTAGGGGGGTCTAGGGGTTATATACATGCATTATAGGGATATACAGGGTTTAGGGATTGCCCAAAATTAGGAGTACCCATTTCAGGGGTCTGATGAGACAACAGGCACTATAGTATTATGTTGGGGGGGTCTATAATGGGGTCCCCCCGTTTAGGGAACTACCATATCTATGTATGCGACATAGCCATGGTGTTTTCATGGTCAATTCCGTCGACGGCGGCTGCGCGACTACATGCCCAAGGGGGTTTTAAAATGATCCCAGGTCAAAGGACATGAGCGGCATAAATCTGCTGAACTCAATCAAGATGCAGCACCACTGCTTGCGCATGTTTGTCATCATGCGCATGTATATGCAAAAGCCCCGTCAGCTCCCGCAATGATCCTGCTGCAACATATAGGTGATAGCACCCAATCCAGACGAACAAAAAGCAAGCAACGTAGAAGAATGACGTGTCCCAAACGGCTATGTGTGTTCCCAAAGAGGCTCCGCGATCACCAGAAGTACAATTCCATCCCTGCAAGAGAACCTCATCTACTTCGTGGAAGCTGAGACCAACTGCGGTTGCGATGTCCGTTTTGCGACGATGAGCGCCAGTGTGTGTGGCATTCAATGTAGCATTTGTGGCATTCAAGAACTTTTCTATCACCTCTGGAAGCATCAGAAGCAAAATGCTTGATTCTTTATACCCTCCTTTGTGGTGGAAGCACTTATTCCATCCATAGGCAAGAAGAACAACCAGAAGTGGCAACAGGAATCTTGGCATCATTGTCTCGACACAGCTGAGACAACATTTGCAGGAGTCTGCATGAAGAAGGACACGCCTTCCTGTGGCCTGGATGCGAATCAAGAGAATAATTGGATTGCAAGGATGCGACATTGCCTCCATGATATCCGCATGCTCTGTTGGCTTCACCTCCAGGATGGTCTGCTCAGAGTCTATCTCTATGCCAGTCCAACTGACATGGTCACCATGCTTGCTGTAGATCAGCGACGCGTTAGCAGCTTGTCCAGATTCCAAGCCTTGCATGGGCCTGGTGCAACCACAACACTGACAGTCATATGTGGCAGGATTCTGGCCACTGCCACTTTCACTGGAGCTGTGGTACTCCCCCTCGGGCTCTTGCTCATCTTTGCCGCAGAGTGGAGGGGACCTGGGTGAATCGCAGCCGCCACTGGCCTCACCTCTCTCCTCCCGAATATTTTCAACTCCAACATATTCATCATCATCCTGGCTGTCCCAAACCTGGAAAAAGCTTAGGGAAATCGGCTCCTCGTTGTCACACTGAACCTTTAACTCGAAACATTGCAGCCGCTGGGAGCGACACATCCGCAGATGTTCGCAGATGCCCTGCCAACATTCCATCACACGGAAAGGGCTCTTGAAATCCAACTTGCAGCACTCACGAAGCTGCTTCCAGTTGGCACCGCGCGCCCTAGACCCATAGACACGGTCCAGAGCTTTCGAAGAAATCATGATTCTCCAAGCCACAAATGGACCAGCCAACATTGCCACTGCTTGGCTGCAGATATAAGCAGCTTCCACCTTTGTGCCGTGACACCCTGCACGATGCCATTCAACATCTCGCCATAATAGCCCGAGTGAAGATCCCGTGCAGAGAGCCAGGATCCACCAGGTGTACTTGTAAAACGAAAAAACAATCCCGAAGAAGGAGCCGATCAGAAAAGTGTACTGGAAAAAGTCCCCCCAGTCCCAGTCACTTCCTTGCGTCTTCTCAGCATCGGACAAACGGCTAAAAAAGATATCCATCGAGAAACCCACAATAGCGAAGCAGACAAATTGCAAGGAGTCAAATGTCGCCGCCCACGAGCAGGCTTCGTCATTGAAATGCGCCCTCCAGGCGTCCAACTTGATGTAGCGCGCGTGATACTGCTGGGCCTGCAGGGATCAGGTCTAAAAAGTTCCGCAAGGATTCACAACTGAACTTACCATCAGTGTCATGTGGCCCCTGCTTGAACTACCAGCTTGCACTCTACGCAAATCGACCTGCCGCGCTGGCGGCATCCGATGAGCGCACGAACGGACAAGAACGGAAATGCTGTGATCTGACAGCTGCAAAGAACTGGTTCTGTGCTTGGCTTCGTGCAGTCGGCCTGTGGGCCGAACAACACTTGTGTTTTGCATGTACATGATGTTTAGCCACATTTGCCTTGCCCTTGAGCCGTTATTGCACAACCATCTTGATTTCTAGCATGCATCGGCACCGTAATGAAAAACAGCCGTCAAACAAAATATGCTTAGCTCCCCCTGCCCGAGCTTGACACTGACAAACTTGCTTGTCCTGTCAATCTTTTTCATGGCCAACTTGCAACGATCGTAATTTTTCAAGCAGAAGACTATCCAAACCTGTTCAATCAAACTCATTTTCATCATTGTCATCAACCCAAAGTCTGAACTGGACATGAGTATAATCCCCCTTAAGAGGATAGAATGTGGCTTTGGGTATATTACAATAGGATCCCCATATACCCCTTATACCCCATATTCCATCTACTTAAGGGGGACTATACTATATGTATCTATATGCCAAACAGGAGCTAACAAGCAGAGGCATGCACAGCCGCAGCAATCACGAAACAAAAGCTCTCAGCTTTTTCTTCTCAATGTGACGGCCCAGCCAGAATGGGGACATTTTGAACCTGATCCTTGCATCCGTCCCAGAAGTCCAAGTAGTATGAAGCTTGTTGTGTTCACACCTCTTAGAGCATCGCCCGGCCACCAAAAGACACACGCAGGGTAGTTTCTCTGAACGATGCCTTCCCTCAGGCAATCTTCGCTGTCACGGAGACTGAACTCGAGCACACCACGCAAGGTGAGGGACTGCATCTGCAGCCTCGAGTTTAAGCCGTAATTGCCAGCACAATCCATGACGCAACACCCCTTTTGTGGAGTGTGCTAGGACCACCAGATGGTCAACAAAGAAGACTGCACGTTGCCAACCAAGCCATCTTGCCCACAAGGTCCTGGCATGGATAACCGCTATCATCTCGGTGGAACCGATCAAGCGCCTTTTTCCCAGAGCAGACCACCGTTTAATGCTGGACTAGAACCTAGTCTACCATGTTCCACTCTCGACAGAATACATCATCTTCCGGCCGCACAGACGTGTTCTTTGCCCTCGACTCACATCCGTGTAGACAAGGGGACAGACCCAGGAGACACCAGCAAGATTGTGAAAGGCAGCTTCGAACAGGAGCCTCCTCAAGAGCAAGAATGCGCGCCCTTGAGTAACGCTACTATGTGCTACGCAGTTAAAGCTCCAGCATTACAATGCATTACATAGCTGATAACATCTTGAGCACACATACGCGGACCCTTGGTTTGCGTGACCCTTGAAGGCCTCTTGGGCATGAGCTGTATAATGTAACAACCTTATAGAATCAGCAGTTGCTTCATGCAGCACATAACTGCACCTAGGTTCAACCATGAAGTCCTTCTCTTACAGCAGGTCATCATTCAAGCGGCGACCTACTAAAATCAAGGTCCCCCCGTTCAACAAACACACCGGCATCAAACATAGAAAGGCCACAGTTCAACATCATTGAAGGACAGGGACTCAGGACCATGGAGAGAAGCAACGGGGCCAGAATAGCCTCTGACGGCCTACTTGTCCCTCGTCCAGTACTTCCCCCCCCCCACACCCCTTACAGCCTCCGCCCTCCCAATGAAGTCGTGCCTCGTTGTCATACACGAGCGCTAGATTCTCGACTGTGTGCCGATCCTTGACATCAGCTACAGCGGCCACAACGACACCCTGCTGCTCCAATTGAACTGTTTTTGCTGTTGCCGCTGCTGCTGCTCCTCCTCTGCCAGCGGCCCCCGCCACCACCGCCGCCAGCCGCCACTGTACCATGGTCTACATCTGAAATTTCAATGGAATATGTAGAACCAATGTTAACGTCACACACACACACACACCAGTCCGACACACTCTGCTATATGGAAGACTCAATGTAGAAGCTGCAAGCGGAATGGGCTTGGGCCAAGCCCATGAAATACAGTGCAGGCAGCCTGGCTCCTGCTCTATACATCAATACAGGATCCTTCAGCATATGTGGGTTTCCATAAAGAGGGGGCCAATATAGACCCCAATATCATAAGCTATATTATTAGCGGGACGACCAAAAAAGAACACCAAAATTTTGGAGATGGCCATGTCATTGAAATCCTCAGATGTCTCTCTCACTCCTATGCTCAGCTAGAATTAACGGAGATCTGTCGAGATTTGGCTTCAATAATCAGAAGCTCTTGGTATTCCCAAAGCCCATAACAAGGACCGGTCCCCAAAGTCCGATTATTCTTCTAAATCCTAACCCGTCCGCGAAGATAATGACCCAACCCTGGGTTGCTGTTAAGGAACTCAAGTTGAGTTACCGGACTATAGATATATAGTAAATAGTAGGGTTTTCTTAATACAGCTTCTTCATTTAAATTCCTGAACAGCACCCCAGTTTATTCCTCGGTGCTGAGTCCTACACCCCCGCATAAATTCAAATAGAACCTGAGAGTCAACTTTTAAACGGGGCCTGCATGGGGTTCCATGTGTGTTGAAGCCCGTAATGGGTTGCTGGTAAGGAACTTAAAAGCGGGTTACCATCTACAATCTCAGTTTCCGCTTCATTTTCTATTTGATCCTCCATTGCTTTAAATCTAACCCTAAACCCTAATACACTCCTTATATCGCCCCTATCTAATCCCGAAAGAACCCCTTTATGGAACCCTAGTTAACACTCAACCCTCATCTCTACACCTTAAACGCTAAACCCTAAACCCTAATGCCCAACACCTCAGAGCGAGGCCAGTCTCCGCGCTATCGCAGCACGGGCTTGGGCAATGGCCTGTCTTATCCCAGAGATTTGGGCTTAGTGTTAAGGGCTTAGGGTGTAGGATTTAGGCTAAGGGTATCGGGGCAATTGGAGTCTTGAAGTTTGAGCCTCAGTTGACGTGTGGGTTTTGGGTGTGTGGACGTGGGTATTGATTGGTCGCGAAGGCGTGGGTTTATGGACGGGCCACTGGATCATGTAGGTGTAGGGTTTGAGGTATTTTGGGAGAAGGCAGTGGCGGTGTTGTGTTTGAGGCCCCTCTGTGCGCTTCAGTGATGCTAAACGGCAACACTGACATGTAAATACGTTCCAGACCTCTGGCCGTGCTTCTATTTTTCTATCGCTAAGAAAGAGGCAACCCCTTTAAAGGGACCCAGGGTTTCCATGTCCTTTCAACCTGATTCCATTTGATTTTCCTTATACCCCAACTTTAGATGATGGACCAGGCTGCCCAAAACTGACGCGCCAAGATGCGACCAAATACATGAAATCGTGCTACCTCTTGCCACGAGGAAGTCAAAGTGCTTTTACGGCCGCCCAAGGGCCAGATGTCCATGGAGATAGTTGAATAACAATACTAGGGTCCCATTTTCAGGGTGACTAAATCCCCGTCGTATTGAAAGCGCAGCAGCACGCAACCCAGCCCCAGTTGAGGGACTTGGTGCTACAACCCAAAACGCTCCACCAACCCCTGAACCTCAAAGCACCAAACCTCAAACCCATGAACTCTGAGCCTTAAACCTAAACCCGAATTCTGACGGAGCAAACGGACCTCTTTGAGCTCCCTGTTCTGCGAATGAAGAACTTGAGACTCCTGGAATCGGGCAGGAGAACAAACAGTTTCTGGCTCATCTGGACCTTCAGCATGCCTCCACATGCCTGTTTGGTGATAAAATTTGTAGGAATGCGGTGGCTTCGTGATACTCTCGAAACTCCAAAAAGAACACTAGCGCTGCCTTCTGGACTCTCCAAGATGGGTATGACGGCCGACAATTTCCGGTGATACGCTTTCAAACAATCCAAACTCCGTACAGCAACTAGAAAAACCACTCAAAGCAGCCTCCACAGAAACTGCGGGTTTAATGTTAAGAGTAATTCAAACCAAATCCTTTAACTATTTCCTTCAGGCACGATATCAGGTAGGTTATCTGGGGCACGGCTCAACGCAAAGGATCTTCATAATGACAGTCTCATCGCCAACGCTTCGTGAATTTTGAGACCCCGCACCGGTCTCTATAGCGCTTGATACTCACGCCACACATCCCCCCATACATGCCCCCCCGCAATCCCACATGCTTCAGCGACCCCACACCCTGCGCTTTCTTGAAACGTGCCGGAATGAGTGAATGTCAGTAAAGATTATATATATATACATATATACGGTTATATACGGCTACTCCATTCCCTGCTCACAACGAGCAATGAAAGGGGCCATGCTTGTCGAAAGGCTGCATCCTCGCTGAGAGACTCCAGCTTGACTTTCTGCTCCTCTGCACGGACAGGGGTGCATAGGCATTTCTCACGAGAGGGCTGGCCTAGGGATGTGCTGGGATAATGGCGCGTGCCTAGTTGGGAATAACTAAATACATCTTGAACATCTCCAGAATCATGGAAATGCCTGCACTTTCTTGTATTACAAATTCACAACTATTTGGGAGGCCTCATATCCGACCGTACTCACAAGTTCACAAATTGGACTGCAAGTCTGGGGTTCCGCACATGGCGCAAAAATATGAACAACAAACAAATCACAGCTTGGGATCTGTTGAGTGTGCAAGCCAAAATCGTAGAACCTTCTCGCCACGTCACTGCAGAATGGATTTACCCTGTTTAACAGCGAGCCCAATCTCCAAACACCTGAATCCCTAAGCCCCAAACCCTAAACCATGTGAACTATAGTCTTAACTCCAAGTATCCCCCTTAACCTTAGACCCTAGAAATCCTAAACCCCAAATCCGAAGTCCCAAAGCCAGGATTCAAACCAGACAGGCCTTTCGGCTCGGGGATTCTGATCTTGGCTTCGCTGCTTCCTCTGCCGGCCTGCAAAATATTATTGGGGGATATTGGGGGTATATTGGGGTGATGGAAAATAAAATGGAAACTACTATAATGGGTTATATAAGGGATTTCTCCCGGGCTTTGTAGCTCTCCTTCCTTTAGGGTCTAGATTTTACGGTTCAGGGTTACAGGTTTAGGGTTCAGGACAGTTTTTTAGGGTTTAGGGTTTGCTCCACTTCTTTGAGGGTACATAGGGGCTTAGACGGATGATGGAAAAAAGAACATGGAAATAGGGCTCAGGGGAAATAAGTGCATTTTCTGGTTGCATGTTTCTGCTATGGTCGCTGATCTGTTGTTTAATTTGTCGCTATGGCTCCCCCTTTCACTCAGCCTCGTGTTAGCCCGCGTAGCATGCTTGACATGTTTCATAAGGGGGCTCCAGACTGAACATTCTTTCCGAGTCCTGAAAGTGGGCCAGGAGTCACGATGAACCCTACACCCCAAGTAGTAGCTTCCATGGTCCATGTTCTTTTCCAGTATCCCTGTATGAGCCATAATCTAAACTCCTAGTATCCCCCTTAATAACCCCTATAGTAGTCCCATATATAATCCCCTATATAACCCCCTTTAAGGAGTTTAGATTATGGTTCATATGTCCTACATACCCTCAAAGGGAAATACAGATTGGGCTCAGGGAGGGGATGCTCGTAGGTCTCACAGACGACCATCTTGAGGATGCTACATGCAGAACTTTGCAGCGCAGGACTGACATCAGCATTTGGGGTCTGGGGAACTGCTTCGAAATCTAGGGGCGGTGTATCTGGATATGAAGAGTTTCAGTAAATCTTGGTTTGATCTGAGTCTTGAACAGGCCTACTGAGGGGCCTAAATGACGGATAACATCCACTCTTTGCCCTATAGGGTTTAGGGTTTAGGGATAATGGAAAAGAAATGGAAACTACTATAGGGTATATATTGGGGTTAGGGGTGTAGGGTTTAGGAACCATAAGATTTGTAATTAGTTTAGGCCCCTATAGTAGCATGCCCACACCCCCTTAGTCTTGTGACTATCGCTTCCTGCTCTCCTCATGAACTGAAGCTGCTGAATGCGTCCACGTCAAAAACCCTAAACCCTAAAGCTTCCCAAATCTCTTCACTCTGAAGCATGGTGATTTTCGCATATAACTGCCCGCAAAACAGGATCCGCGCATAAGCTTCAGCTGCTCCATACTACGAACCCTACACCCTGAACACGCGGCCTTGCAAACCTGAACTTGTTTCACAAAATCCGCGTTCCCAAATCCAATCTGATTCCGCATTGCCCTCCGAGCTTCATGGACCCCTAAACCCTACACTATCACGACAGTATAGCCCAGACGTGCGGATTCATCTCACCAGGATCTCCAGAGGGTTAGGGTTTAGTGTCTAGGGTTTAGGGTATCTACAGCAGTACCCTAAATTACTGCCAAACAGGTAACTGTTGGTCAGCCTCACAATTCATTGCGAGAGCCCGTACGCCCTGAAGCCTAAACCCCGATCCGGGCACCAACAAAAAATTCGCCACAGTTCAGTCGAATTACTGTAGTTTCCTTAGACCTATAACAAAAACAATATTGTCAATATTTCCTTAGGGTTATACTATAATAAAGATTCAAAACAATTTCTAAGGACAGTACAGAGTACCCCCCCCCAAATGCTGTCAAACCTTACACTCAGGACTCTAAAGCTCAGACGGAAAATCTATAATGCTAACTCCTACACTTGAAGCCTCAAACCACCAAACTAGCAGCCCCCGAAGTCCCAAACCCTACACGCGGTTTAGGGTTTAGGGTTATGGGTTCTAGGGAGACCCTACATCCCAAGAGCCCCTAAAACTAAACACTAAACCGACAAAAACCTTACCACAACCTCAGTCCCAGCGCCAAAAACCCCTAAACCCTCAATAGCCCTAAACCCTATATATACCCCTACATAAGCCTAAACCCTAAACCGAGTACCCCCATGTCCCTTACCAGCCTCTTGCCCTTTTCCAGGGCCTTCAGCCGCTGTGAGAGGGCTTCCCGCTGCTTCCGGAGCTCCTTGTTGGGGGGCCAGCTGGACTTACAGTCAGCCTTAAGTAGATAGAATATGGCTTTGGGGATATTATAATGTGAATACCCCATATTCTATCTACTTAAGGGGGATTATAGTAAGTATACTGTACACTTGTAAGTTGTAAGTAGGTAGAGTTTACCATGCTGAACTTGGAACCCTACCAGACACTATCATGTTTGCTGCTTCTTAGGATTCTAATACGCAACAAGTAAAACGTTATTTCCAAGCACCTACCCCGACGTTTAGGGTTTAGGGTTTAACCTGGGTTGGACTTCGTAGGTATACTTTGAAGCCCTATGAGCCGGGAGTTTGGGGATTCAGGAACTTTGGGCTTTCAGGCGTTTGTTTGGGAGTTATGGCTTATAGTCCCCTTAAGTAGATAGAATATGGCTTTGGGTATTTTGTAATAAGATCCCCAAATACCCCATAGTCTATCTACTTAAGGGGGGGTATAGGCTAAAGGATCCAAGGTTGGAGGGTGTTATTCGGACTATCCAGGCTGTCTCGCACGCATGGGGTGCCTTAGAATGGAATTCTGTCGTGGGGGACTCCATTTCCCCCTTGAAGTAGATAGAATATGGCTTTGGGTATATTATAAGAAGACCCCACATACCCCATATTCTGTCTACTCAAGGGGGACTACATATCCACACCTGCCATCCGCAATCGACTCTTCCGGGCATCGCGTGGATTTTATGGGCACTATGTCAACACATTTCCTTTTCGGCTTGACTATGGTCAATAGGTCAGATGCATTACTGCGGCTCATGCTAGCCACCATGCATCTTTCTACTGGCAATATGGCAACTGAATGCGCTACTGTAATGATTCGCCTTCCAATGCCACGCGCTGCTTCCAAAACGCGATCCAACCTGAACTGGGAGACCCCAAAGTCACATATGAGCCATAGGTTAAGCTCCTTACCTCCCCCTTAAGAACCCCCTATGATACTTCCCTATATAATCTTCTATTTAACCCGTTTAATGCGTTTAGACTATAGCCCATATTGTGGATTGGGGAAGGGTGGATGGGATGGAGAGCTGAGGCTGACGAAGTGGGGCAACTGAGCCAAGGAAACTACCACAGGGATTTATAGGGATCATATAGGGGATATATAGGGATTATAGGGAACATACTGGGGTTGTATAGGGATGATGGAAAAGAAAATGGAAGCTACTATAGTAGAGCATATTTCAGGGAGTATGGTGTGGCAGTGGCTCCATCCTCGCTCACATCTTCTGGCTTGAAGACGGATACCTCAAGCCCAGACTACTTTCTTCCGACCGCTGGCATGCCTGCAAAACACGGTCGTCCCAAACAAGCAATTTAAGGAGGAAAGTTAGGGCAACACTGCGCACCTGCCAAGTGAGATCATTCCAAGCCTTCGATTAAAACTTGGACCATACCAATCTGAGTGCATACAAGACGGCTCCGACTTCGACCAACTTCTTCATCTATGAGCGCCACTGAATTCCTAACCTCTGTCCTCTAGACGCGTCTAGAACCCAAATCCTAAGCCCTATCTTCTAAACCCTGACCCCAACCCCAACCCCTAAACCCTACACCCTAAACTGTAAACCCTAAACCCTATCCTTAACCTTGGGGGCTCCTGTAGCTCCGCTGCAACGGTCTCCTTGCCCTCCAGCTTCCTTGTGAGGTTGCGGGCTCGGTTCAGGTATAAACCTTGACGGTCTGAGGCTTACCTGCACGGCACCCCCCAAAAGTAGGTAAAGCACGGCCCCAAATCTTTTTGTTAAAAAAAGGGTCAACAAGACCATTATTCCAGATCCTTAAGCCCTAAACCCTAAACCCTAAGCCCTAAACCCTAAGCCCTAAACCCTACACCCTACACCCTAAAACCTTGAAGCCTTGGGGTCCAGGTAGGGTTGAGGGATACGCCTCTGAGACGCTCTGAGGATGAAGGGTTCAGATCTTGAGGTCTGCGGGGAGCTAGGTTTTAGGGCTTAGGGTTTAGGATACAGGTTTAGGGTTTAGAGTTTAGGACTTAGGGTTTAGGGCTTAGGGTTTAGGGCCCAGATTTTAGGGCTTAGGGAGAGGGCTTGGGGTTGAGGGCCTCTGAGTTTTCGGAAGGCTTTTGGATCAGGCTTGTGGCTCACAATTTGGGCTTTGGCAGAACAAGGGGTTGAGAGGAGGTGTACCCATCTAATTTCCGACTTTTTGAACTCCAAGAAGGTATGCTGCGCTAGAAGCAGAGCCCTGCTCCAATTCTTCATGCTCGACCCTAAGTAGGGTAGGTTTGGGACCCTATCAGAACTGTTTTTTATGGCTTTATGAGGATTATATAGGGATTCGGGGCAATAGACATTGAAAATTGTGTCCAAACCTACCCCTGTACACCCTGAACCCTAACCCCAATAAGCATCCCCTAGAAGCCCGTAAGCCCCATGAGGCCCCAGTTCAATCCCTAGGGACCCCATTTCATTCTCCCACCCCTAAACCCTAAACTTTAAAACCCTTAACCCTAAAACCCTGAAATCCTAAAACCATCAAACCCTAAACCCTTTACCCGAGTGCCGCACGCACGAGACCAAACCTCTTGCCATTGGTCTGCTAGGCTGTGAACCTGCAAATTTCTAGGACAGAATGGGGATCTATTTTCCAATGGTTTTAGGGCCTAGGGTTAGGTAGCGGCCACAAAAACAACAGAAGCAAACAAATAGACAAGCATATCCCACTTCAAGCCGTTTTAGGTGTATTTCCCCCAAACCCGTCAAAAGCTTATGCTAATGTTCATATTTGTTCCTAACTCTAGAGTCCTATAGGCTTCTTCACATGACTGAGAAGGTTTTGGAGGTGGTGGGGATTAGGGGACCAGGCATTCAAGCTTCTCAAAACTTGTGGGCTACTATGTGGGATCCTTTTTCCAAGAGTGCTGGGATTCATAGGGTAAAGATGAAGTATCCGGATACCCAAATCATGCCCCTCCACATGCTTTTCGCAGGAAACGCCACTCCCCAGGACTAACCTTTCAGATATATGGCAATGCTGAACATAGTCCCTCTTTAGTAGATAGAATAAGGAATTGGCCACAACCATAATAAGATCCCCTAACTTTTCAGATATATGGCAATGCTGAACATAGTCCCTCTTTAGTAGATAGAATAAGGAATTGGCCACAACCATAATAAGATCCCCATATATCCGATATTCTATCTACCTATATATGTTGAAGGCCCCTATATTCACATTACTCCCTTGTGTTCTTCACGGCTTCCCAGATAGCTCTCCCATTATCCCATTCCTCTTTCTGAAAGGCAGGGGCAATCATAGCCCAACCATAACGCTAGTTCTAGCCGAACCATACCCAGGGCCCTTGTAGCTCGGTAATAATTACTTGCCCTGCGCACCCGAAAACATGCGGGAGTTTTTCCAGAAATTAAGAGGTCCTCTTCCAGTGGCTCCCAACAATAAGCTGTACAATTTTCTTGGCATATCAGGGGAATGCATCCCTGCAGTAGTCCTATAATTCTACATACATACATATATATATATATCTAAATATAGAATCCCTAATTTCAGTATTTTTTTGCATTCCTTCATTTGCTAACTCCAGTATGCAAATGGCACGCCGCTGCAATGCTGGGCCTCGCTCATGAGGCTTGCCAGTGCCTGTGCCCAGAGCAGATACCCTCCGGAAACTAACATGGAAACCCAAAACGGCCCCTATAAAGACTACAGTCCTTTTAAAGGGGGGGCTATATGGGTTTCCATGTTAGTTTGGGGGAGATACCCAAAAGGTAGTTTCCCTAAATTACTGTTCCCAAAATGAAGGAAATTTATATAGGGCTCCGTATGATAATGGGAACCCAAATATAGGACCCCGTATTATAGGGAATTTAAACCAATACCCAAAAAACAAGGGTGCAGTGCAGGGTCTCGTTGCTGGGCTTCGGGCAAAATGGCCTACTTAGTGCATGTGTGCATACATGCATATGTGCGAAATGGCGGGACTATAGGGGTCCCTCTGAAAAGGACATCATCTCAGCTTGAGAAACTCCTCAAGTAGAGGCTTTGGCCAAAACAGTTTCATGGGGTAGCACTGACATTTCTGCTTGCGCTGCTATTAGAGCTCCGCGACAGCCGCGATTCATAAAACAACAGCAGCAATACCGCCCCCTAACAAATTAAGAGCCCTCCCCGACCCCCTCCTATACATATATATATATAAATATACATAGACTTCATATATGGGTAGGGGCTTACTGCGCGATCATTACGCTGCGGTACCATAATTTTGCGATGCTCCTTGCCCCTGCTCGTCTTACCACTCCGCATGCTCTGCTGCTACTACGGCTCAATAAGGAGAGTACAGAATACTAGCAGCAAACTGCCAGACTGGGTTGCTGAGGAAAGGAAACCGTATTATCTACTATATACCCATCATATGGTAACTTAATATTAAGCTCCTGAACAGCAACCCAGCTTTCCTCTGAGCACCGGGGAGGAGCCCTAAACCGCCTCATTTTCGTCCCGCAGAGCCGAATTGGCTGCCATGGTGTCCTCCTCAGCCAATCTGCAGGGTGAAGGCCGCAAAGGCTTGTGAGTAGACCGCAGAAGCCCTGATAAACTGCAGCTGCAAAATGGATGCAATGATACAAGAAAACTTACACGCAGTGGTGTGCGGAAACTGTGGATCTCTTTCGAATCTGCCCTTTGCAGGGCCATGCTCAACCTGGCTCACTTTGGTGAGGACAACATACCACAAACGTTCGTAGGAATCAGAAGCACTGCCTTTTGTAAACAGGTTCTTTGTCTAGAGCTCAGGGTTAGGGCCTGGAATTTAGGTCTTCCGATGACAGCTGCACAAACTCGATTTGACTCTGGGCAAATACTGGCTGCTTCTCTGTTCATAATCTCTGCTCTTGCCAGCTGCGCTGAAACTGCTCCTCCAGTATGGTCATTCCAATGCCACTGAAAGAAATCAAAACTAACACAATCCCGACAACCCACCACTCGTCTGGAAACGGTAAAGGAACCCAAAAAGAACTTAAGAGTGACCTCCAATTCGGGTTTACGGCGACACCGAACAAAAGCCTGCATGTCAGGAAGTCAAATGAATCACGGCTGTCGAAAGGATAAGCGAGCACAGGAGCCTGACATTATGTTTGACCATCCACATCCGAATGATCTCTGTTTAAGATGAGCGCCCACGAGATACGCTGGTACGGTACTCATCACAAGGATATCCCCACAAGAGGCCGGTGTATGGTACTTTTTGATGTACCTCTTCCTCAAACTGCCTCCACTTCACCCCAACAGCCATTAAGCCTTAAAATTATACTCTCAGAAAACGATCGAACATGCAAGACTGCATCATCTGAAGCCCTAAGCGCTTTCCCAGAGCTCGCGGCTAATTCGCCAGACATGGCTCACAGTTTGCACCAGTCTCCAGATGCTACACGAATGATTTGATTCTGTCGCGACGCTTAGGCTAGGAGTTTGGCACGGTTGTTGCTGAGATTTGTTGGTATTCGTGCTGTTCGCGTTCCTGCTGCCGCGGCTGCTACGGTGATTGCTGCAACAATCATGCCATACCGTTGCTAGTGCTGTTTCTGTTGGTACCACTGCCCTCTACGACCAAAGCTTGATCCTACTGTGGGTTGCTCAGTGGGATTAGGTCACTTGCCTTCTGCTTCACTGGTCTGTGGACCCGCGGGATGCTTGACAAAACGAAGCTCGGCGGTAATTCGTCTTGACACATGTCCTTCCCTAATGTTGAACATCACCAGTACAAGGTACCTGGCAATGACTTGAACCCTTTCGCGTGCACAATGAAACCAAAATGGCACATGTCACATCGCTACGGGTTCGTCACCTCACGTCGCATCAAGATAAAGCGAAGCATGGCTAACATTCGCAAGTGGAAGAACTACAATAGCAAATGCACGGCAGTCAGAGCTGCAATAGCAACAACAGCACCAGCAACAGCAACGTAATCCATATTCCAAAACACCTAAGCATAAAACTGTCTTTTCCAAACACTACATATATACATATATGTATGTACGTATGTATGTATGTATGTATGTATGTATGTTCATATTCCTCATATAACCACACTTAGGCCCCTACAGCAATATACAAAGCACAGTTCTGCGAGCACTCATTGCTGCGCCTCCACAGGAGCCTCCCAAGGCCCACGATGGGTGTTGAGTTTCAGGGTTTAGGGTTTAAGGATTCAGGTTTAAGGATTAATGTTTTAGGATTAGGGTTTAGGATGAATGAAAATCTCTCAATTTTTGGGGGGGGCTCCAAAAATTAGGGGTACCCGTTTGAGGGTGCCTAGATCCACGATCATAACATTTCGGGGCTTATATCGGGGTCCCCTATGTATGGAAAACTACGCTATTCAGCTATTCCCTCTTCCCGCAAAGATAACCACAGTCAGAAAACAGTAGACATAATATACGGGACTCTTATTTCAGAAATGTCTATTTGGGCCGGTAAATCTAACAAATAGGCATAGCCAAATATGTCTGTTTCGCTACATTACTTACTGCGCCCTCATATTCCAAAGAATACCTGCTATCATCATGCGCGCACCTTGGTAGACTGATACAGGTCTGACGCTAACAGAAGTGGTTTAGCCTAGATGCTAAGGCTGGGCATTGAGAACATGTGGCTTCAGATACAATAATAATGGCAGAGTCATCAAACATGACAAGAAACACAGATGCTCTATGCTGAAAAGCTGGGAAGGTTCCCAAATCTGAGCAAGCCACACATGTGCCTAGGCTGCCCGCGTCAGAATATGTGATTTTGAGTGCATCTCAATGCAAAGGCCGCAGGCACCTTTTTCACTGAAATGATCGGTGCTTCAGTAGCATCGTTTGACAGAGGCCTGAATCAAGGCGGATAAGTTGCGGCAGTACCCGCCTTGGCTTTCAATGGTCTCACGAGCTCGCCGGATGGCACTGCGGGCGACTTGCGGACGAGCACGGCGAAGGCATGCCCACGCCCAGCGATCTACCGAGGAGCATGTCATGTTTTCGAGTCGTCGTACCTCCACGCCCATGTTCCAGGAGAACGCCGGAGCAAAACTGCCACTATTGTGGGGCATGCTTGCTCCATTATCCTCGGAAGGCGTCACTGGGGGTGTTGCACCATTGCCGCGGTTGATGGTTGCTGCTGTGGTCTCTGACATGATGTCTGTATCACACTTAGGTTCTCCTTCCACCGAAGAGATCAAGCGGTCCACCCTGTCAAGCTCCTCTACGGGGACGTTGTACCGAAGCAAGAGGCCTCGCAATCCATCCACCACAAACTGCATCTTGTTCTTCTCTTCAGCCTGTGCCTTCGTCACTGTGTGCAACTCCTGCTCCAAGAGCGCCACACGATTGTCCAGTGGACTTGAAGACCTGGGTTGCAGAATGCCCGCAGGGCATGGCTGGTGAACATAGCTCTGTGTAGCCGGGGCTGCCCCATCCGCCATCTCAATGCTACTAGGACACATATTATGCATCTGAGAAGGAAGGCCCTGTGCGCATGGCGACATCCAACTCTGCGTAGCTTGTACGTCTGCAATCGCTGTATCAGCAGGATACATGGCAGGAGAATTGCAATATGCAGGAAAACAACTCGGCGCAACCATTGCTTGCGCGTCTGCAATCCCAACACCAGCAGGACACACCAGCGGGAGAGAGCAGCCTTGAGGATATGGCTGGTAGACATTCGGCGCAGTCAGGGCTGCCTGTCCATCTGCAAGCCCTGTACCTGGAGCAAGTACGGTTGTTTGACATGGCTCGCCACAGCCAAAGGGAATCCAGGCCCAGTCAATTGCAGCAGAATTGCCTGAAACGGGATATCCACATGAAGGATGGCAAAGAACTCCTTGTGGACTCCAGGAAGGAGCCGGGCTCCAAGGCCCGTACATGGATCTCACCTCTCACACTTGAGATTCAGTCTGGAAGCTCTGACCGAATCTCGTCTTCTTGAACCGAACTTGTACAAGCCGCGAGTCTTTTCACCCAGTCAATGGTGGTCCGCCCACTCTCCTACAACCTGCCTGCCTGAGATGTGTAAATTTGGAGAATGAAGGCATCATCAGGCCCACCCCACAGCAAGGAGCACCGAATGATTGTGGTCATGTACTGAGGTAGAATATATATATCCTATTATAATCTAGTAGTTTCCAATTTCTTTTCCATTATCCCAATATAACCCCAATTATAACCCCTATATAATATGCTAGTTTCCATTTTCTTTTCCATGTCCCCAATATGTCCCAACATGCAAGGCCTGAAAGGGTGACAGGACTCTTGGCACCCGAAGCCTCGCCTCTGCACCAGCCGCATCTAAACCTGCACACAATATGCTTCGAATACAGCAAACGAGGATGATACGTATCTTTGGGGGCTTTGCCATGTTGTCTCTCAAAACAAATACGTATCTTCAAGCAAATCGGACACGAGTGCTTGCTGCAGTTTCAATTTCATGATAACTCGTGTAATGGTGATAGCTACTACTAATATCATTTTTGCTCTGGAATTGTTGTGTAAAGCCTCGCTCGAACATGACGATAACATCGCGGGAGAAAAAAATGTGATAGTGCAGGGCAAGTGAAAGGCACACCACAACTGACTTTTCCCAAATCCGATACCGCAACTCGTCATTGCGATCCCCTAACAATATGGTGCTTGGTTCCTGAAACTGCTGCTGCATCACGGACAATCTGTGCCAGAGAGCTCGAGTGAAAAAAGTGGATTTGAGGCGGTCAAATACACTCCTACCATAGGATCCAAGGTCCTTATGAAGAACGAGTAAAATCGTGCACTAATTCAGAGCATGCTTGCCGAAAGGATCTCATGACCCTGGCGGCTGTATCATAGAAGGACTGCAAATTTTGGCATCTGAGACCGTTAGTCCGGTACAGTATGGTAGTGTGTTGCCACCTATTGCTACGGCTGGAATGCAACACCTGAAAGTGCGAAGGCGGGATGCTAACATTGCATATCTCAAGCACGAAATAATACTTCTTCAATTGGAACCACTGTACAAACCTTGCCCCAGAAAATTACCACTCAACTGGCTTAGCAGGCACAAGCCGGGCCTATGCTGCTCGTGGCCTGACGACAGGGCAGCTGTCCGCTAAGCAGATTTTCAGCTCTTACTTGGGCCTGTTTTCTTGGGACAACCCCTTGCGTTGTATGCGTATCAAAATTCTTGTTTAATTAGACTTGTTTAAAAGCTGAACTTGTCTTGAAGGAGAGGTTGTGGAGGGAGAGGTCCTACTGACTTTCACAGGAAAGGTTGGTTGCTGTGAAGCCGCTCTGGTCGGGCTGAGAAAGGATGCTATGGATATGCAGCTCATTTCAAGCTTGGGGTTTAGGGTTTAGGGGTTTAGGGCTTAGGGAGCCACACTCCTCTGAAGGCTGTAGAGAGACACTCGTATGCCTCTGTTATCAAGTGGGCCTCTCCATGTTGAGCAGCATACCTTCCCTCGCTCGACGATTATGAGCGTCCACACGTATACTATAGTATATTTAGATATTATAGCATGTTAGTGATTATATAGGGGTTATATGAGGATAATGGAAAAGAACATGGAAACTACTATAATGAGTTATCCAATATCTGATATTCCTTGATCTCACGTCGCACAACCCACCTATTCTCCGTTTCAGAATCTCATGTGTCCCTCTTGCAAGCCATTGCTACCAAACATGAGATCCTAAACACTCAGCAGGAAATCCTTGGGCCAGGGCTTTCGGTGGAGAAGCCTGTCGCTTTGGACTTTGACCTGCTGAATATCTAGGTTATGTAGGATTATACAAGTATACCTCGGGAAATGAGAATGGAAAAGAACATGGAAACGACTATATCATAATAGGATATGGATATGAGTGTGTATATATATATGTGTGTATTATATGCGGATACTCCTCCGAATGATGGAGAATCAAATGGAAAAGAACACGGACAATGAAATGGAAATTGGGATTATATAGTATGGGTTTCGGCTTTGGGGCTTAGGGTCTAAGGATTTGGGTCGAAAGATCCAGGGCTTGTGCAAGGTTTGGCATTTTGAATGCGCCCTAGACCCTAAACCCTTGACCCGAAACCATAAACCCGCAGGTATGAGTTTCGTAAACGGGTTGACGCTGGGAACCACCCCAATGTTATATGGAACTATGAGAGGATGATGGGACTCCTTTCAGGATTCTATACGGCGACTTTTGTGTAACCACCATGCCCAAGGAGAACGCCGGCAGCAAGAAGAAACGGTCTAGGAGTTCATTCTCTGGCGTAGCCGACTCCAAGAGGAGAAACAAGAGTCTTAGGCCTAGGCCCGGTGTCCTTCTGAAAGACATACATGCTGCTCCTCCACAGGAAAACACCCCATGATCCCCACTTAGTCCTAGGTACCTTACGGCGACGCCAATCTTAAAAACAAAGGCTCCTCTAAGGAGGTCATGTGTTATGATGTAGAAGCGAAATAATTGGAATAGGATTTTCGGGTACGGCCGTCAAGTTATTTAGAAATCTAGAAGCAAGACAAGGGATATTCCGCGTTAGCGTTGCATATAAAATCCGAGGATATCAGAGGTGAAATTTCCTTCAGTCTGCCACATTAGTCTGGGTCGCTGTTAAGGAACTTAATTCAAGTTACTATATTGGGGAAACCCTATTAACTACTATCTATCTATCTATCTATCTCTATATATATATATCCAGTATGGTATATTAATCTAGGTTCCTTAGCAGCAACCCTGTATTTCAGTCCCCCCCATTTTCCTACTCTACCAAGCCTCTCGTCAGCTGCCGCGAAGAGGCAGACCTCAAATGAAGGTTTCTCAGGACAAGGGTATTCTTGGCGGCCAAGGGTTATAGAAGGATATGTAAAGGGACTCTACTGGGAACCCCAAATAGGGAACCCCAAGAATATAGTAGGTTTATAATAGGAATCTACCTACCAGGGTCCTCATATTTCATTATACTCCTGCTAGATTCTTGGGGTTCCCTATTTGGGGTTCCCGGTAGAATCCCTTTAACATAGAAGGATTTGAAGAGGATTTCTAGAAATGCCCATCGGTCTCAACCCCTAGCTTTAGCTTGTTCATATGCGAGGGTTCTGAAAAATGTGACTATCCTGAGGCCTGAAGGGACCGCAACAATCCATAGAGATTTCTGTGGGACAATGCTGGGTTGATTGCCCCGCTTGTGGGTAGTTTTTTTTTCGCAAAAGCGGGATTCTAACACCCCTGTTCGTTCGTGCTATTGTGCGTCAGGCATCTAGGGATTGGAGGTTCCAAGGACAAGGGTCATGCTATTTGCAAACCAACTCTTGCTTCAGTACACGGAGGCCATAATTGGGATTAGAGAAATGACTGGTCTGAAGATTCGAAAAACTGAGAAGCGCAACACTTTCAGACCTGAAGCACAAGGGTTTGCTTAAAAACTCAGGCAATCCAGGGTTTAGGGTTTAGGGTTTCAAACAGAGACACTCATGCTGAGCGACTTTGCAAAAAAGACAAAGCTCATTACTCGTAGGAACCTCAAAAACTGCCACGCTAAAGTTAGAACCCCCTTTGGAGTTCCTAGATGCGGAAAAAAGGTCCTAATCTTCAGACATTTCTTCCCAGACCCCAACACTAACATCAACACCTTATACCCCAATCCCTAGACCCGAATCAGCAAACCCCAGTGCCTAAATCCTGATCCCTGAGCCTTAAACCTAATGCCAAAATCCTAATTCGTGAACCCTAAACCCTAATCCTTAAACCTTACGCCCTGAACCCTCTGAGGGCATATCCCGTTCCTCCTCGAGGCGGCTGTGGTGCTTGCCTGCCCAGCATTGCCAAGGTGGGTTTAGGGGCCCTGTAAGCATTAAATTTCTATACCATCATAATGCTTCAGGCTAACAAAAATCAACAAATTATTTCAAAACTACCACTGTATAGGGGTGCATGGAGAAGTTCTGATAAAGAACCCCGTGGAAGTGGATCTGAGGCCTTAGAGCAGGTTATCACCTCCAATCACATTAAAGAACCCACCAAATCTCAGATTCTGCCATCTGAACTTTCTCCTTTGTGGGCTACCTGCAGCATGCTGTCATGATGATCTTTCTGGTTTGCAGGTGTATCAGCACTGACAGCAGCGGAAACAGGAAGATGAAACTAACGGCGATCGTAACTGCAGCAGAAAGACGTGAAGAACGACATTCCTATTGCAGGGGCGGCACATGCAATTATAATCCAGGTCTTGTATTGGCTAATGGCTAATGCTTACGATCGCACTGCCGCTGATGACGCTGAAGATGATGTCATAGTGATCAGGCACACGATGATGCATGACTCTAGTAACTACGATGTGAACAGTTGAACTCAAAACACGGTAGTTTCCCAAAATAAGGGGACTCCAATATAGACCCCAGTATACTATAATCCTTATTATGGGGACCCCCAAAAAGGTACCCATAATTATGGGAAACCCCCACACAAACCCAAGAAGATCAACGCCCCCCCATGGACTCCACCTGGGCGGCTCGCTCCTTCACAGGACTGGTGCCTCGTCAGGAGTTATTGCGCAAAGCTGCAGCCTTCCCCCCCCCCCCCACAATTTCTGCATGTTCTAAACCCTATATAACCCATTATAATAGTTTCCATTTTATTTTCCATCATCCCAAAATAACCCGAATATAACCCCTAATATTACCCCCCCAATAACTTTACAATGAGCGATAGGAGAGGGGTAGCAGCGGTTTGTTCAGGAAGGTCGTGGCGGTGGTGATGTTGGTGACAATTGGCTTTGGTACTATAGGGACAATGGAAAAGAACATGGAAACTACGAATCATTTAGTAGATTGGATATATATATATATATTGAGGTTATATTGGGATTATGGAAAAGAAAATGAAACCTACTTTACTATAA